ACGGTGGGCTTGTGCTCTTATACAATATGTCAATCAAAATACTTCGTTAAGCCACCCATGTGGGTTCTACATATATTAAAAGCTCAAGTTGGGGGAAATGACAAGAGAATCTTCATCTCAACCACTGCGATTTTTTTCGATTCCGACCCTTTTCTCATAAATTATACGTGTGGGTATTATTCTAACACCTAATGTGAAAACCCTATCTCAGCAGGACAATGTTCTCAAAATGATCACATGCACTTATCTTTGCACAGTCAGTTTCATTTGTCTTTTAGCATTTAACACAATTGTCGATGTTTCAATTTTTCTTTTCTGTGTTGTCCAAGTGAAGTTTGTCACTTACCTTCCAGATAAGTATGCTGATATCATACTGGGGACTTCGAAATGCAGACACAGGCGAGATGCTTGCTCCCATGGCTATTTCACTGTTCACTTGAATAAACCCTGAGCAGAGGAGGTTATAGCAACCTGTGGCTTGATATGCATCGCTCTGCAAACACCATTCATCATCATTAGAACAATAATATAGAATTGGAAGAATGAAACTCAAAGATTCAATGACAATATATTCATCACAGAAGCAAATCAATCTTACAGTCCAGTAAGTGAAGAGTCTTGTGTTGTTATCACCATACAGATCTGGACTGACCTGTTGTCATAAACAATCAATTATGAGAAACAACAATTATTGGATTAGCCTTTTGGTATCAATGAGTACCCATAGTACCTGCCAGCCAGCTTCAATACTATTAAGATCTTGACCAAAAGAGCCTCCTAATATCCATAACTGAGACAAGCTAAACTCATTAGGCTGCTGTATTTTGGGCTCCCAGACGTTGATTGTTGCCTTTGCTCCATAAAACTTATCTCCTTCCACATAAGCTATTGCGTGCTAAGCAGCTCCGAAGGGAACACCATGATATCAGAACTAAACCATAAAAAGACTGAGTGTATTCAAAAGAGAAAAGAATTACCTGATGACCACTTTGGTTAATGAGATCAGGATCTGCAGACCTCGGTTGAGGAATGCTTCTATGTCTTTTCTTTCCATATCTTTTGGCAGAGCTTGCTCTTAGAACATCATCTTTCTTGGTTCTTCTAATAGGAATGGTGTTTTCTGGGCACCTTCCATTTGCATGCCACAGCTGATTGATGGGGTTTGTTCTTTCTTTAGGCTTCTCAGACACCTTGTTCTCATCAAACAGCCCTTCTGGGTGGTAAGTAGGCCTCGTCTGATATACCAAACAAGTGTTCAAGGAATTTCAGGACAGATATATGAAGAAATACTTCAAGTAGCTGCAAAAGCTAAGATGAACAAACCAGAATTTTGTGATCTTTGATGAAAGGATGATCAAAAGCTGGTTGATTAGAAATGTGGACACAATCGATTATATCCCCATCTGAACTCTGCTTGAACATCAGAAGAACAGTCATAATCAGATCAGAATAACAAATCAAGAGAAACATGAACACTGGAAAATCTAAAAATTTTGCTCAATATGCTGAAATTGAAAGCTGCAATACTCAATCGATTGAAAGGGGGCTAGACTCATAGCATACATTATTAAAACTAAAAGAATGATACTCGATTACTTTCTCGCTATCTTCAAAGTACTCCGAAAAGCAAAAACCAAAACATCTTTTAGAGGGAGAAAGTAAGAGAGAGAAGAAACCTCGATTGTTTTCAATGGAGGCTTGTTTAAGCGCCTGAGATGCTTCTGAACTTCAAGCTGCTGCTTGGAAGGGGATAACCGAGCGGCGAGGGACAGACAGATCAGACACCATAAAGAGAAAACCAGCACCGGAGCTCTCCCGGCAGCCGTTCCTCTGCCAATCTGAGCAGGAACCATTTGGTGGAATCCGCCCAAATGCCAAAAATTCCACTGATCCAAAGGGAAATTAGCTAACAGCAAGTGAATCCAAGTCGAAGAACAAAGGTGGAGCACAAATACAAGCCCAAAAACTTCACAAAATGACGATCCACCTACCAGCTCGCGCGCGCTCTCTCTCTCTCTAAATCAGCTTTATATGGAATGTAACGTATGTTTCCATCGATCCTACTTTCTCAATAAAAAAGTGGGAATTCACCAGTCAGCCATTGCCATTGCCATTTCTTTTCTTACAAAATCCAAAAGAGAAAAAAAGGAAAAATGGAGGCGGATGCGGTAAAGATCACTTCTATATTATATCATCTTGATTGCACGATGACGAGAGAGAGAACGATGAAAGTGACTGAACCAAAGTTCTACACCATTGGGTGTTTGATGAATTTTATACACATTGCGAGTATTAAATTAGTGTTAATCAAATTATTCCATAAATACATAATAAGCTATCCAGTTACGAAGAACAACAGATTGAAACCAAACGAGCCATATCGACCGACCACTGCACTAGTCAAGCTAGCTCAACCAGGACCGTAACAACAGATTAAACAAGAAAACCGTACCAAATTCATTAACTTATTTTCAACCGTTGTTCGGAGAAGTGGATGATTGAGTTGTTAGACGAACACGACTCTCCACAATGGTATGATATTGTCCACTTTGAGTATAAGCTCTCATGGCTTTGCTTTGGGAAGACTTTGAGTATAAGCTCTCTCATGGCTTTGCTTTTGGCTTCCCAAAAGGCCCATTCCAATGGAGTTAGTATTCCTCATTTATAAACCCGCTTTGGACTTCCCAAAAGGCCCATTCCAATGGAGTTAGTATTCCTCACTTATAAACCCGCTTCTCAAAAGGGTTCATTCCAATGGAGTTAGTATTCCTCACTTATAAACCCGCTTCCCAAAAGGTCTCATTCCAATGGAGTTAGTATTCCTCACTTATAAACCCATGATCATTCCCTAAATTAGCCGATGTGGAACTTTCATCATCCAACATGAGTGAACGGGAAAGGGAGGTGTCTGGGCTCTCGTTGTGGAAAATGGGAAATGAATATTTTCTTGGGGTCGGGTCGGAATCTTTTAATTTTAAATAGATTAAAAAATGTTCTAAGCTTTTAATTAATATTATTCGTTAAAAATTACAGGCATCCCAGAACGAAGAATGGAATCCTATGCTACACTTTTGTATTTAATTATTGATGAATACGACGTCGTGTTGCAAATGCCTTCCAAAGATTCCTCCTTTTTCCATTTTTGCCCTTTTCCTTCCCATTCCACAAATTCCAATCATTTACCTTTAATTTCCCTCATTTCACTCGACCCAATTTTTTCCACCTCATCAATTAAGAATCTTTCTTTTAATAATTACTAAATCTTCTCAGTAATTTTAGATTTTACGTTGGATTAAACTTTTTTAACTCACTAATTTACTCGGATAAAATTTTGGTTAAAAAGTATTATAGCTTGAGCAACGCAAGGTTAGTTAAGTCATAAAAAAATTGTCACGTTAAAAATTACATTTTTAATCTTCAATTTTAATTTAATTTATAAAAATTACATTTCATTTATAAAATAAAAAATAAAATAGAAAAAGAAAAAAGTGGAAGAAACAAAATTTAGTATTATTAAAGAGAAAGGGAGGAACGTTATCAAATTGCCACTCATTACTCACTTTACAGATTCCCCAAACACCTTCTTCCCACTCCAAAGTTACTTTTTTGCCCTTTCTTTTTCTTTTTTTAATATGCTTATTTTTAAAAAATAATAAATCAATATTTTTTTTTTTTTTTAATTTTTGGGTTAAAATGGAATATTATTCATTTCATTTTAATAAATTCAAAATTAAATATAGTTTAAAGAAAGTTGGTTTCGGAGGCGTAACCAATGAGGTTGATTTTGCAACTACTGGATTGTGAGTCAAATGTGTGTATGGATTTGGAACTCGACCCCATCCAAATCCAATCCAGTATGCCGACCAACCCCTAAAATTCAAAAGTTTATAGAATATATAATTGAAAGTTCTTGAAGTTAATAGATATTTTTAAATTTTAAAAACCAAATAAACACAGGAACTCCCAGAATTAAATTACGATCAAAAGCAAACTAGTATATGTAATCGGTAGAATGAAAAAATTCATACTCCGTCACACAAGCCATAACCTATGGACCAAATGCCAAATAAATACCCTACATTCTAACTCTACAAGGGTACGTATGGGTGAAAAGGAATAGATGAAAGACAGTTCACATAAAATGAAAGAACAAAATGGAGGGTGGACCATGTATGTAGCTAGTGCCCAAATGGTGGCGTGGAAGAGGAGTTAAAGCAGCGCCAATATGAGAAAACTCGAATTGATATCGAATTGCTTTATATCTTTCGGATTGATATCATTTGGATCAAAACATCTGTTTTCTATCTTTCGAATTGATATCATGTGATCAAAAGAGCTACTTTTTGTCAACCTTCTTTTAGTTTGCTTAAGTTTAAGTCAACAATTATTGACATATACTCTTTTTTATCACTCGGATTGGTATAGTGTGGATCAAAATAGTTGCTTTCTGTCAACCTCCTTTTAGTTAACCTAAGTTTAAGTCCACGATAATTGATATATATTCTTTTTCATCACTCGGATCGATATCATGTGGGTAAAAAATAGTAGCTTTTATGTCAAACTCCTTTTGGTTAACCCAAGTTTAAGTCAATGATAATTGACATCTACTCTTTGACACCATGTGGATCAAAATAGCTGCTTTCTGTCAACCTTTAAGTCAACGATAATTGACATCTACTCTTTTCCTCGAAATCATCGGTGATTTAGGTTTCCCTCGTACTAAAAACAACAGCTTTCCAATCATCTAAACAACCACCTACCTTATCAGATCTCTCCCTACTTTGAGAATTAAACGCATCAAGACATTTTGGACACCGACACTGCTGAGTTTTCTCTTCGTGATTGTATTAAGTGGTCTTGGACTCGAGAATTAGCATGTGGGTTGGGTTGGGTTGGGTTGGGTTGGGTTGGGTGCTGTTTGTTTGCCGTGATTGGTGCCTTTTTCACAGTAATATGTAATTACAGCTTCCTCTGTCCACAATCAAACCTGCAAAGCCTAATCAAACCAACCATCACCTCATGGATTATTAGCAAAAAGTGATCATCTTCCAAGCACTTTCACTAACAGACAGACATTCATTCATTCCTTACAATCCAATCATTTCTCAAATGATCCACACAATGTCGGGTCAAGCTGACCGACAAACCCCGACTTTAACGTAAGGCAACCCGAGCTGAAATCTGCAAACGCTCTAATAAAACGAACACCAATCTAAGGGTGAAAACACACATTTCTGGCATTCTTCTTTCACTTTGTGACCTTCCCCTGAGTAGGAAAAAATCATATTTACAAACTTAGCCACCGTGCGCTACTAATCCATGGATACGAGCCAACAGAGGTAAGTAACCAGATGGCTTCATGTGCTGTACATTATTTGGTAAAGCTTTTCAAAAAAAACAAGCAGATGTTGGAACTTGGAAGCAAGACACACCCGACAAGGGCCGCAACCGAATTGGTGAGGACTTCGTATTCTCTTTGTCATAATCGCATTCACACAAAGCTTGCTAAGAACTGTTCAGATGCTAGAATGGGAATGCAACTCCGAGCGTCCACCCTTCATCAAACAATGAAACCACCATTAAATTGCATTAAAGGTTACACTTAATGTTATAAAAACAGAACAAGATGCCAGCAAGAGATCGAAAAAATATTCATTAGTGCTTCAAAACAACGCTTGGAATAGAAAAACCACTAGAATGTTGAATGAAAAGTTCGTCCAGACAAGTGCACAAGTTGCCACGTAGATCCACGTCACCACCACGTTTATTTTCTATCCAACATTCTAAAAGAAAGCCAACACATCCTTGTAATATCCGTTACTATAACGCCCAAATGTTGCATTTAGTTCGAGAAGACAAAGACAAAGACAAAGAGAACATACATTTTAAACAAACTCAAATTTTTCTTCCATAATCTTCCAAGTTCAAGTGGTCTATTTCATACTTGCATTACTTGAACCGAAGCCTCGTCTTTCCAAGTAAATGTAATGTTCTCATTAGGCACCAAGTACCCTGAAACTTCCACATTCTGAGAACAGTTAATCCTTTGTACCACTCCGACTGCAGAAATATCTGATTCATATTAATTTGTATTCATCTTCTCAATAGACTTATAGAAAACCTACAGATACTAAGAGGTCTCAGGTGTTAAGATTAGAAATGATGATCCTATATGAACACAGAGAAAGTCCCAAGTCCTAATTTGGCAAGGTTCCCAAGCCAAACAATAGATTTATAAATTACATATGTATACAACGCACTAAGCAAGGGAACGGACAAGGCCAAGGATGGCTTCCCTGCCCCCATTTCATTCCTCGTATAACAGCCCAAGCCCACAGCCAATAGATATTGTCCTCTTTGGGCTTTTCCTTTCGAGCTTCCCCTCAAGGTTTTAAAACGCGTGCACTAGGGAGAGGTTTCCATGTCTTTATAAAGAATGTTTTGTTCTCCTCTCCAACCAATATGGGATCTCACACTTCGTCTCTACGAAATTCTGATCAAGAGTGATAGTGTCAAATGAAACCATAAGTTCAAATCCCTCGAGAGTTATTTCCTTCCTCTCTTCATATTAATCATCCGTGTTTCAGAGATCTAACAACTTAAGCTTTTAGGTGAAATGTTAACAGAACATATTCTACAATGGTGGGACAAGATAATATGGAAAATGAAAAGATGGCTTTCCTTATGACTAAATTTCTACTCTCATCCACTCCAACCACTTTGCCTATAAAAACAGCAAACTTATTAATGAAGCCATTGATCAGACCACTGTTCAATCCCTTGAAGAGGATCAAATTCAAGTCAGAGAGTACCAGATACAACATTATTGAGCAAATCTCCACCCAATAAATCAAGAGTATCTGTGACATTTATGATGAATCACAAGGCAAGTGGTGGTATAATGTAACAGTCCAAGCTCAAGCCCACTGCTAGTAGATATTTTCCGCTTGGGCCCGTTACGTATTGCTGCCAATACTTGGGAGACACCGAGTAATAGTTCGTTACTCTCTCAAACTGAGGTGGATCTCACTTATAATTACTCAAACCGCATTAAAAAAAATTAAGTGGTAGCTGAAAAACCTCAATGAACACAACAAATTGCAAAGCATGAGATGTAACACGGAGCAGATACCTCAACCAACGAAATCAAATAAAACAATCATTACTTAAGAAGACGCAGAAGATAGTGTTGGTTTAAATCACTCAGTTGACAAACTAGCAAGCAATCTTTCAATGCAAGTGATCGATGGTGTTATCTTAACTACTAGCTTGTTGTCGATTACTATCATACTCAATGAACTCTGACAAAAAAAGCTAGAAAAATGTCAGCGAACACATGATTATGCTCAGAAAAATGTCAAATCTGATGTTATGAAGACGAATCACGCATAATCGAATTGCGAGAAAGAAGGGAAAAAAACAAAGGAATCCAGAAGCAGAAATTGACGAGTGAATAGTTAAGATCGCGCACTCTCATAATTGAAGAAAAGGAGGAGAAATTACCAGAGAAAATTCATTCGGAAGAAGAATCGTAGTCGGAGGAGTAGTAGTAATAGTAAAAGGAACCCGGTGGAGGGACGCATAAGAAGGTCCATATAGAGAAGGCGAGGCGAGAGAGCTGTTGAAGAGGGTAGCTGAAGAGAACATAAAGAAGTTGGTGGCTGGTGAGGCGATCGGGAGATCGTGCAATGCATTGCGATGCATCGGCCGATAAATGAGCAACCGATAACACGATTAAGCTGTTAAATACCATTGATTTCACAGTGGCTGTCGCGATGAACACGATAATATGCCCGATTAGTGATCTAGTTCTGTGTTCTTCAACGGATTTGTGCTCTGTTCTTCAGCTGTGGCTTGAAGAATTCGCCATCTCCCTTTCCATCAGAGTTTTGACCCAATACTCTTATTTCTTTTCCAAATTTCGTTCCACCACATATCCTTTGATCTCGACAGCGAAGCCACAAATCGGGCTTCAATTTTAATTCGATTTTCACAGGAAATTCACGAGTCAACTCGAGATTATAGCTTTGTTTTATCGGTATCTTGTTCGGTACGTGTCAAATCCTCGACGAAATGGGCTACGAGACGAGATTTGAACAGAATTGGGAAATTTCATATGAACATAGGGACGGCAATACCCAAATTTTATGTGGCTATTATATGTTCAAGTATGAAGTAGAAATCACTGGCCCAAGGCGGACAAGCCAAAACTCGACCCTACCTCGGGCCCAACCAACTGCACCAATGCCCAATATAGGCCTTGTGTTAAGATGACCTATGAGTCCAAGACTAAAACGACCACCTCAACTAGGGGTGAGGCTCGAGGTGACCCGATACTCTTTGGGCACGTTTGAGCTTGCCCCTAACATAAGAAGACCCTGTTGAGCTCGGTTGGACCCCTTTTAGTTCGATCAAACTTAATGCAAATAGAATATCATGAATCTAGTGGATGTTAGTTCAACTAAGTACGCGTCCCATAATTCTAAGATTTGTGTCTTTGAGTTTTCTTTGTTGATTTACACATCGATTTTCATACCAGCTATGTGTACTTGGACTGTGACCATGTCAATGTCTTTTAAGTTTTTTTAGCATCAATACATACCATTCTGAATATTTTTGTATTGAATATATATTGAACGTGTGACCCTATAAAGAAAATCACATAAAGCAAAGAGAGTCGACCCCCATACAGGCTAGCAAAGACCCCAAGAGTTTCGATCCCTTAAGGGGTCAATGAAGATGAAAGTTAACTGACCCCTAACCTAAAGGTGGTCAAAACTCTTTGGGCTTTCTCTCAAAGGCTTTTAAACGCCTCTACTATAGGAAAGTTTCCACGCCCTTATAAATGGTAGTTTGTTCTTCTCTCCAACCAATGTGAGACATCACAATCCTTCAGGGTCCAGCGTCCTCGCTGGTACTCTTACCTTCCTCCAAGCGATGTGAAACCGCCCCCAAATCTACCCCCTTTGGAGCCCAGCATCCTTACTGGCACATTACCTCGTGTCTACCCCCCATCGGGGAACAACGAGAAGGTTGACACATCGTTCGGTGTTTGGCTCTGATACTATTTGTAACGGCCCATATCCACCTCTAACAGATATTGTTATTTTTGGGTTTTCTCCTTCGGGCTTCCCCTCAAGACTGTAAAATACATTTATCAGGGGAAGGTTTCCACACCCTTTGTTTCCCTCCCCAGCCAATCTGGAATATGACAGAGAAACTAGTCGAACTTGACTTAGGGCAAGTTGTCCAAGCAAAGACCAAGTTATCGAGATTGAGTTAGGCCGCATGAGCCAATCCTTGAAAGGAATCGATTAAGAGCACATTGAGGCTAGCTCTTAAAGGGCAACCCCGATCGAAAACTTCTCCGTGATTCACTTCCTTTCATCGTCGAAATATTTCAATAAGTTTGAATTTGTAGCCTAATTTTTGTTACACTAAACCTCATAATAAATATAGATATAAGTTTTTTTTTTTCTTTTAATATGATCATAAACTTATTGAAATTGTTTTACAATTATAAAAATAACAAATAGTGACGTCATTAATCAGTAAAATGGCGGGTCAGTGGCTCCAAGTGGAATTGGGGCATGCAATCGGAGCAGATAAAGCGCTGATTTGGGTAACGCGCACAGGAAGGAGGACGGAGTGAATCCAATGGAAGCCTTGAAGTTCTACGGGGCAGTATGCTCCCAGCCATTGTTCAAGCACCTCATTCGCTTGGCTTCTTCCTCTTCTACAATCTCCGCCCTTGCTCCCAAATCCTCTCGTTCCGCCCTTTTCCTTAGTCGCTGTTCTTCCGCTGCAACCTCCACTGCCGGTGACGGAAAGGTCAAGCTTTCCGGCCGCAGCCGCCGTTCTTCCTCCTCGACTACATCATCTTCTTCTTCTACGTCCGACAGGGAGGCGGTTCGTGCAATTCGCTTAAAGAAGGTTCTTCTCATACCACTTACAAATGCACTATACTCCACTTCGCCCCCTCTATTTTCTTTCTGGACTTGGTTGAATGTGTTGGGACATTTATATTGTTGTGTTAGGTTGAGGAATTGAGGAGCAAGGGGTTAGAACCTTATGCATATACGTGGGACAAGACTCATACTGCTAGTCAGCTGCAAGAGTTGTATAAGCATCTAGGCAATGGCGAAGAGTCTAATAGCGATACGAGTTCTGTGTCAATAGCTGGAAGGATTGTGGCTCGCCGTGCGTTTGGAAAGCTTGCATTTCTGACATTAAGAGACGATTCTGGTACAATTCAGGTTCGTATACTCGCCTGCTTCGATTGACTAACTTACACTTATATCCACGCCATTGTTTCGTCAAGTCGCTGTTGGGATTGGTGAAACTTTATGGAGTGCACATAAGATTACTGCTTGTTCAAGGTAGTAGAGTATGCCTTTTTGTTTTTCATGTTAGATGGCTGTGAACATGATTCGGAGATCATTTGACGATTGGTCTGTTTAATTTCGTTCTCGCGTAAATCCACGAGAATGACGTATTTTTAGTCACTTTTAAGTTATATTCATCATGAAGAGTCTTCTACTTCTGCTCTTCTTAATATAGGCCATGTAATCAACATAATTGATTGACAATTTTGATTTCAGCTTTACTGTGAGAAGGAAAGGCTCATAAATGATCAGTTTGATCAGCTAAAGAATCTTGTTGATATTGGCGATATTCTTGGTGCACGAGGTTCAATTAAGCGAACCGAGAAAGGTGAGTCCTCATGCTGTTGTTTCTTAATGGCTAGATCACATTTTTCTACTGGCATAAAAAAGTTTATGCAGCTAACAAGGAAACTAGAGTCTTAGAAGTTAAACACTCATTGGATGTAGCTATTAAAAATAAAATCTAAATTTTCTTATAAATCTAATTGATATTAAGAGAGAACCTCAAGTATTAATCTCATATTAATCAGCCTGTTGCATACGAATCTGTCAGCCAAATTTAATTTAATTTTTTGTTTTTCAAGAAAGAGCAAAGTAGATTGCTCTGAAGGATTTGAGACTGTAATAATTATTTTCCTCTACACTGACCTTTAGTAGAGATTGGATGTTGAACTGTTTGTTATATTGTTTTGTCACTTCTTTGAAGCATAGGAATTGGAAAGAATCTCTTCATTTACATTTTTCCTTAACCATTATAATGAGAGTTGAGAAAGTAGTATTTTGAGACCACATTAAGAGTATTTCGTATCATACTTGGAACAATAAGAGAGAAAAGGTATGGGCAGACTTTTGCATTTTCATTTTTTAAGCTAGAAGCTATCATGAAAACAAATCATTCTGGTTTTGTTTGATAACCATTTTGTTTTTGGTTTTTTGTTTGGCTAAATTATAAAAAATACCCATGAATTTTGTAATTTGTTTTAAAAATATCTTTAAACTTTTAAAAAGTTTCAATAATACCCTTCAACTTTTAAAAAAATTCAAAATACCTTTACTATTAGTTTTGGATGGAAACGGTTGGTATTTTATTTTTAAAATACCCATAAAGTTTTAAAATTGTTTAAAAAAATAATCTTGAACTTTCAAAAGTTTCATCAATAACCTTAAACGTTTAAAAAAGTTAATACCTTTACTGTTAGTATATAGACGGAACGGTTATTTTCACGTTTAAAAAAATATTTTTCAACTTTCAAGTAACATTAATACTCTTAACCTTTAAAAAGGTTAAAAAGTTCTCGAAGTGACAAAAATCACTTAGCTATGTATTAATCTCTAGATTCCTTTATGTTAAGCCTGCGGGGCATATGTTTTCATGGACCTGAACTGCATTTCCACATTATTAACGCTTGGATATGTTATGATTTAATTTTTTGTCCTTCATTTTCTTCAGGGGAACTTTCTGTTTGTGTGAATTCTTTTGAAATCCTGACGAAGTCATTACTTCCACTTCCTGACAAATATCATGGTTTAACTGATGTTGATAAACGCTACCGCCAACGGTAACTTTTGGCCCATTTGTTTCATTTTCTATTTCAAAAATATTAATTCTTGTGGACAGCCATTTCTCTTATGTATGTCTTTTGTTTTAAGAGTTGTGAAAGTCACATTTTGATACTGTAGTTGACTGTCCTATTTTTGGGGGCTCATGTCCGACATGATATAATGTCATTAAGTAAGAAATGCATATCATTGAATGGGAATATTAATTTTTATTGCTTGTTGATGGGGAGAAAACCTCTTAATTTTTTCTGCTGTAGAGGTTGTCCTGATTTTATATCATCAATTAACCGAAGGCTAGTGAAAGCAACTTGCAAAATGGGAAACTATTGTTTTTATGTGTCTTCCTTTTTGTGAAAACCCTCAACGATTAGGATGAGTATTCAGGCCTTCTTATAAAAAAAAAAGACCTTAGGATGTCTTATAAAATCAAGTTGGCTTCAAGGGATTTCTCATCCCCTCCCTTTTTCAATATATTATTGGTTACTGATGAAAAGATACCTACTTTTTTTTTCCACTTGTAATTTTTACTATCTAGATATCGTTTCAATCTTATGAAGACACTGCACTTCAAATGGATAACATGCGGTTGAAATATGCTTCAGCTCAATATCTCATTTTCATTGACGTCATATTTACATATTTTATTTTCAGGTATGTAGATATGATTGCGAATCCTGAAGTAGCGGATACATTCAGGAAAAGAGCAAAGGTGATGTAGGCTTAGCTATTTCTTGTTAGCAACTTGCAGGCACAATTTTATTATTAAGCCTATGCATTGTATTCATATCTGTCAGGCCTGCTTTGAGGCTTGAGAGTGTGGACATGGCATGTAGGCAATGTGATCAAATATAAGTTGATATATTTAATTTTCGTTTTTCAATGTTTAAAACAAGTAACTGGACCAGTCCCATCTTTTTTTCAGTGCTTTTAGCAATGACTGTGAAACACTTAAAGATATGCAGATTTTTTTATCAGTTATAATACGTAATGTTCTCTTACATTTTGTTCTTTTTCGAAGATGTCTCCAAATCACCAAAAGGGACCTAAAATTTTGTACTCTCCTTTCTATATCAACTCTAGTTCATGCACTTTTATGATAAACCTTGGGGAGTTTCCTTCTCTCTTGTAAATTGCATCAGTAGCTTATTAAAAAAGAAAAGAATGAAAAAGAAAACAATAATGCTAGGTTCTGTTATCAATTTTTGTCAGCATGAGATAACTCAATGGTTAGGCATGTTAGGATCTCTACTTTCTCTAGGAGGTTGTAGTTTGAACCCCTTCTCCCATACGTGATGTGTTGCAATACTTTTAAAAGTTAATTTTTTTTTTTAATAACAAAAGTCAAGTACTTCAATGTGTTGAAATGCTTGCTATCTCTTATTTGTATAGATAATATCAGAGATTCGCAAGACTGTGGAATCATTAGGATTTGTTGAGGTTGAGACTCCAGTCCTTCAGGTTTGGGAATATTCAAGCTTCATTTAAATTATATGTAATTTATTAGACTTTTTAATTTTTTCTGAAGAAGATAAATTTACATATTTGAAAATTGAGGTCAATTGGAGATAATTACTCATCCAAAACTCATTGACATGGATCCATTTTTTTTACACCGAACATCTGAATCTCTTTTGGTTGCTTGGTTGGCTCCATGAACTATTTTTGCTTTAGTTGATGAGGTTCATATCATGCAGAAACAAAATTTCATTAAGATTTATATTCATGTATGTCTCTTTATGATCCAAGTAGCATTGGGTTTCTTAACTTGGATTTTGGCTCTGTTTGTCTGTATTGCCTTGATTTTTTTCTTTCATTCTTCTTGATGGAAGTTTATTTTCTATTCAAGAAATATATGAAGTAAATTTGACTCCGTTTACTTGTAGTTGCCTGTTGATTGTTGCTCATTTTGGACATTAATATTTTTGTAAGGCATAACTATCTCTACTCCTCCCTCTCTTTCTCACTCCCTTTCCCCTTCTTAGTAACTGACAACGTCCTCCTCCTTTTAGTTAATATGATCACAACTACCCCCTCCTTGTAGTCTGTTGCTTTGTAAAGTGAAAATCGGCCTATAGCTAGTATTTCCGCACCCCCTCTTCTTTTTGAGCCTTTTCCAAAGATCTAGCCTTTTGTTTTTGCAACTTCCCATTTAATGGTACTTTGTACGAACAAGTTTTGACAGCTTGCAATATGATGGAAAGCTGAGAAATTATCTTATGGCAGGCCTGAATTACATTGCTTTCTTGCCTCTGAGAAGCAAGCATTTCTTCATCTATCTATGTTAAACCTTATATCCATTATCCAAATCACATTAATATTATTTGAGCTAGTTATTTCCAGAAAAATAATATTGGTTAAATATTGTTTATTCGTGAGACTGTTTACTTGATCCTGATTGTCAGAATGTTAAGAAGCAACTTTTATAATTTTGGATGAATCATCATTTTCTTATATGTAATGTTTAATTTATAAATTTAAGTACCCAAATATATAGTTACTTTCTTGTACTTGGTTTTTGATTTGTTTAATCAACTAGGGAGCAGCTGGGGGAGCTGAAGCAAGGCCTTTTGTCACATACCACAATTCCATTGGGAGAGATCTGTATTTAAGAATAGCTACTGAGCTCCACTTGAAAAGAATGCTAGTGAGTTATCAATATTTAACTTTTTATATGGTTGTACTGAACAGAATTTCAGATCCGATATTTTATTACTAACGCCCGGTTTGATAACCATTTGCTTTTTTTTAATTAAGTTTATTAGCACTACTTCCACCTATGAATATCTCTGTTTTGTTGCCTACTTTTAACATATGATTTTGAAATCTAAAAAAAAAAAAAAAAATTAAATATTTGTTTTTGTTTTTAGACTTTGGCTAAGAATTCGTGTATTTTCTCATGAAAGATGAAGACTATTGTAGAGAAATGGTGAGAAAACAAGTCTAATTTTCAAAAGCCAAAAACCAAAAAGCAAATAGTGATCACTTAGACAATGATGGTTGCTAAGTATGCAAACTGAGTAACCTATGGCTGTGATTGATGTTCCAAAGGTGTGGGGTGGTATTAATTAACTTGCAAAAAACTAGTATCATGCTAAGCTTAATGTTCTCTGTTTATGTTGTTGCTATCCCCCCCCCAAAAAAAAAAAATGCTTGTGTTTGCATATTTATGCCTTTTCCCCCCTAATGCTAGCTATGATGTCGTTAATTCTTGTTTTCCCCTTAATTTTTTGAATATAACTCTTTCTTTATCAACGTATACAAACTTGTATATTTATTATTTAGATGAATATATTTTTGTTGGTGACAGGTTGGTGGCTTCGAGAGAGTATATGAAATTGGACGCATATTCAGAAATGAAGGACTTTCAACTCGTCATAATCCTGAGTTTACATCTATAGAGGTAAGCTTTCTTTTGATCGTTCCTTGCTTCTGTCCATGTGGAAACACTTTGAAGGTGAATCTTGCAAATGAAGCTCTAATCAATATTTTATAACTTGATTAATAGATATATGAAGCATATTCAGATTATCAGAGTATGATGAACATGGCAGAAGAAATTGTTACCCGTTGTGCTCTTGCTATTCATGGGAAACTTTCAATTGATTACCAGGTATGTCCAGTTCAACTTTGAACACTCTAGTTTATTGCCATGTGGATTGTGAGAAATCTTGTTTGCTTTATTTTGTAAAATGAAAAGTTGTTTTTACAAGTTTTGAAGTTTTTCTTTACAATCAAAGAGAATTTTAAAGGGCCTTTCAAAGGGTATCACTTAAAAGAGTTTTGTAGATCAATGCTATAAAAGTTCCTTGGAACTTTGTCTTGAAAGGAATAGAAGAACATTCCAAGACCTTTATGTAGATGATGGTATTTTTTGGCGCAGGGTGAATGGTTTAGCTTCAACATGGAGCTCCTATCGTGTCTTTTTTTTTTTTTTTTTTTTTTTTTTTTTTTTTTTTTTTTTTTTTTTTTTTTTTTTTTTTTTGTAATATATATATTTTAATTATCATCTTAAGCTATAGGTGGCATAGATGCCCATTAGTAAGTGCTTTTATGCAAGCTCTTAGACAAGTTGTGAGAACTTCTTATCCTCTCTCTTGTATTCTTTCGTTTATGAAACTCATTTCTTATATATATATATATATATATATAAAGAAAACTAGTTTTAAGGAGAATTTGATATGAAAAGTCCTCGTTGCTTCTCATTTTTCTCATTTTTCTCATTGGAGCATGTAAATCTATCCTTATGCTCTGATGTAAAAAGTTGCACACCTTTACAGAACATTCTAGCTGGTGATTGTCAATTATATGAAGGACCTTATACGGTGGTTAATCCATACATCTTTGTAGGGAGTTGAAATATGCCTTGAAAGGCCTTGGAGGAGAGAAACAATGCACAACCTCGTTAAAGAAGCCACTGGGATTGATTTAAATGAGTTTGGAAATGACCTTAAAGTTGCCAAAGAAGTTACTTTGAGGACCATTGGGGATACCCTTGAGTATAAGGACAAAACTTCTATTGAAGCAAGTCAATCAATTGGGCACCTTCTATCTGAGGTTATGCTCCATCTCTACCTAGGAACTTTTAACTTTACACATGCATGTTCTGTTAGAATATGTTAGTCCTTTCTTGAAGCTTCATGGATGCAATTAGTCCGTTTGTTTGGATTCATTTGTTGTCATTTTATAACTTCTCCACTTTGCAGCTTTCGTGTGGGCGTCAATAACTTTCTTCTTTCCTTTTGTAATAGTTAAAGTTATATCTGATAAATTGGATAATTTTCTCGTTTCTCTCTCTGTCTTTTGGCCTATATTCTCTTAATTGGAAGACTTTCTTGTATCTTTCTTGTCTTAGTTTGGGCTCCTTTGGCCTATGTCCATGCTTTGGTGTAATGAAATAGTCATCACAGAACAAAAGAGTTGTCTTTATTGCTTTAATTCTCATGGATTTGCATATTATGTGTCCAGATTTTTGAGCTTATTGTAGAACCGAAGCTCCTTCAACCCACTTTTGTGTTGGATTACCCAATCGAGATATCTCCTCTGGCAAAACCTCACAGAAGGTATGAAGCCCACATGTTGGTGTATCTATGTTTCTAGCTTAGTGTTTCATGTATTTTTAATGTTAGGGGTGTAAGGGGAAAACCGAAAAAACCACTTAACCCGACCGAAACTGATGTTGGTTCGGTTTGGCAGCTGGGGTTTTCAAATAAAGAAAACCAAATTTTTTTTGGTAAGCCTTGGGTTTTGAAAGGTTAAACTGAATATAACCGAGCCCGTTGATAATATTTGTATTAAAAAGTTGGACAACATATCAAACAATGTTAGTGAAGTAGTTCGCCTGAAAGTCAGGCTTGTAACCATAAGGATACGCGTGTATATATCTGTCATCCTTCTGGCACCTATGCCCACCTATCTTATCTCAACCATGAATCACTGGACCAAACCGTCTTAAACCATCGGTTGATCGATTCGGACCAGTTTAGTTCAGTTCTATACATTCCTTTATGTATCTGACGGTTCAGTTCCAGTTTTACACTCAAACCAAACCAAACTGCTTACACTCATACTTAATGTATTGAGATATTGGAGGGATGACAATATTCCAATCTCAGCTATACCCTTGAAAGAGTTTTGTCTTTTTATTTCTTATGATCTTGTCTAGCCATGTAGTTCCTATTTGGGTTTTTATTTATTACCTGGCCTTACTGAGAGATCCAAGTAAATTATTGTGGTGCATAAACTAGATGCTCGTAGTGTTTAGGATATGCTGTGTGTCACGGTCATACATTTTCAACCGTGCGGTGTCATGATCTTGACACACTCATGTCAAGCCTTGACCTAGAAGCTTTCGGTTCCTTGATTTTGTTTAGCTTGTATTCTTCTTTTTTAAATTCTTATTCAGGAGGGGGTTAAAATGTTAATTTTTTCTTCTGTATTATTAGGCATGCTGGGTTGACAGAAAGGTTCGAACTTTTCATTTGTGGTCGTGAGCTGGCCAATGCATTTTCTGAATTGACCGATCCTATCGATCAGGTAAGAGTTAATTAAGTCAATTAGTTATGCCAGAGGTATATTGGTTCAAGAATTCTACTATCATTTTGAATTCTTTGTCTTCATTCGATATGAAATTGAAACATTTCATAGATGGTATGAAATTATCTCCAATTTGGTTTTAGGGACAAGTCTTTCCGTTAATCTAGGGCCCCTACCATCTTTCCTCCACATGTTTCAAACTTAGATTTGGTGGGCTAGTCCGAGAAGATTTCTAGTGGCCCCACAATGTTACAATCACTTGGGCGTGGCACTCATAGGCTTATTCATGGCCTATAAATTATTCTAGAAGTTGGTACTAAGCCATGGTCACCACTCAACACTAAGTGAAAGGAACTGATCGCTAAGTTTAATGCAACAAACGAGACTTCTAGGAACTCTGGACTCATGCCTCTTATTGTTTTCTTGGCAGTAACCCAGTCTCCTGTGTACCCCTTACTTCCTTGAAATAAAATTACCATAAATAGCGACTTTCATGGGGGAATACTCCAAATCCATTTGTAGATCAATATACGATTTCTTTCCCTTAAGGTTGCTGGTGCCTACTGCCATCTTCATTTTTATTTGGAACTTTCTTTCATTCCACCAAAAGGCTTCCAATGTTGAGACCTTCCCTAGCCTGGAGAGAGTTCCTTATTTTCTTACCAATAATATTAGCCATTTTCCTCTGCATTTGAAGAAGAGAGATAATCGTTGGCATACAAGTCAAACTGAACTGGATAATCTAAAGCCTTTTGAAAGATAACTTTTCTTTACTTCGTTAATCTTCTAGAGACTCTTCCAGTCAAAGGGTTACCAAAAGAAATGGCTTTTGGTTTGCACCTAACCCATGCCAAGGAGCGGCCAGCCTCCATAAGAGCACCCTTTTCTTCGTGCTTAGTATGCTCATGTGTTATTGATTCATGTCATTTCAACAAATAATAATTTTTATTGTAAAGTTCTAGACTGGTTCTATGATGGTTGGAAAGATTTTCATATTTATTTTAAAAAATGGCAGAGAGGTCGATTTGAAGAGCAGATCAGGCAACATAATGAGAAGCGTGGTGTAGCTGTTTCTGGAACAGACTCTATTGATGGAAGTCAGAAAAAAGACGAAGATGACTCTTATGAAGTGACACTTGATGATGACTTTCTTACAGCTCTGGAATATGGAATGCCACCTGCTTCTGGCCTGGTATTGTTATCCTTTCTCTGTCCACTTTACTGTATCACGTTTTGGATGACATCCCTCAACGAAACTGCTAGTGAAACTCTGGCTTGCTCTTTCCTTTGAAAAGTGGCCAATGAAAATCTTAAATGGCTATTTCTTAGATGCTCTGAAGTTTTCATATCTGAAAACCAGCTGCTGAAGTCTCTTCCATTTGCTTGCTAGTATTCTAAAATTATCAAGTGCATAATACAAATTAAAAATCAGAACATCGTAAATTTGTACACAACGTTTGGGTCAGATGTTTGAGCTATAATGAAATTGACAGATCTTGATAAGAGTATTAATGTAAATTAGAAAAAAAAAATGTCACGTTACCTGCATCTAGGAGATTATTGAAATTTAGAAGTAAAAATTCTACGTTGCATCACTGTAATAGATTTTAATTTCTACTAGTATTTTGTGAAGGATAGTTAAAAATATATTTCTTTAAACCGGTCTTGTATTGTATTATGAAAAGTTTATGTTCACATAATATTATGTAGATATAGCTTTCTCAATGTAGAGATTTAATATTGAAATATTGGATGTTGTCAAGAAACGTGGAGCAGGAGGAGCTATTATCTATATAATTACGGTCTTTGTTAACCGTTGTTCCGATCGAGCACTCTCTTTTTTCTTATCAGATTATTTTCTTTTACTTTGCATGGTTAGAATCCCGTTTCCTTTCCGTAACTAAACTGATGAAAGAACTCAACTTTCAGGGAATTGGAATTGATAGATTAGTGATGCTTCTGACAAATTCTGCAAGCATTCGAGATGTAATTGCTTTTCCAGTGCTTAAAATCCAGCGGTAATGTTAGGACAGGTGACCGGGGAGAGGCTCAATGCTTGTATATCTAAATTCCAAGGCTTGTTGGATCGTGGGAGCAGTTTGAAGGTATGAGCTCAAGTTTATGCATGCTACTTGAGGTTTGCTATCCATTTCTTTTAGCTATTTATTGCTGTAAGGGCAATGGGATTTTAAGTTTACTGTTATGACGAGGGCATTAATCAGTTTTGTGTATTGGGTTGAGATTAGAGATTAATAAAATTAATGTATGAATCGACTTCAGTCATTTAAAAGCTCTGGATGGTTGAGGATGAATTGGACTTCAACCATGAGTACCTTTTATCTAATTGATAAATGCTTGTATTTACCAATGATTTTGTTCCATTTTAGTCATAGTAATTTTACGATAAAACTTAAAATTAGTCTTTATTCTCAACTTTTTTTTCCCCTTTAAAATTTATCCCTATTGGCATTCTCTATTTAAATTTAGGAAATATGTTTCCCTTGTGTTGTATGAAAATTATAATAATAATAATTTTTTTATTTTTGATATTACGACTTCCTACTCTTGTGCGGGTCTTTCTCGCGGTGGGAACAGAATTCTCGAGGTGAGTTGCTAGAAAGAATATATAACCTAATACATAGTTTAGGAGAGAGAATCAATCTTCTTTGGATAATATTTTATGGTGTAATTTTAAGATTTGAGATTTAAAGGGTACTTTTTAGTTTGAGACTCAAATGATACTTTTAGTGTTAAATTATAAAAGCTAAAATGTTAATCTTCACATTTAATGCTGAAAGATTTTAAAAAAAACTTCAATTCCTGGGATTGAATCCAAGATGACAATTTTTATCATAAAAGTAAGTCCAAATATAGCAAGGATTGTCATTGATCTTTGCTCTTAGAAGACTTTACTTATGTCTTCTCTACATTCGTCAACAGAATTACTATGCAACAGTGGGAAAGTTGTGTTCTTAGGAAATTAAGTATTAGCTTCCAGAAATCAGAAAAATGAAAAACAAGAAAAAAAGAGATCCATAAGTTGACCAAAATTAATCAAATACAACAATATGCTCAACTTGTTAAGTCATGGTGCTTCAATATGTATCACTAATAAGATGTAAAAAAACGAATTACATTGAAATTTTTTCGTTAACTATACGTTTGAATCTTTGAATACTTTGATACAATATGTGACAACAATAATTTGAATTACTTAATAAAAGATAACCATAGAAGAGTCTAGTTCTTATTTCTTGAAACCGAATAGCGACTTAATGGCATTGATGGCATTCTCATTGATAAACGACTCGTCAAACCTTTTCAGAAGAGTCTCAAATTCCTCCAATGTCCTCAAGTTTGATAGATCAGGATCCGTCCGAATTCTCTGGCAAACATTAAGAACAATGATTTCACCAAAACTTCTCCACATATAATTGTCCAGGGCATGTAATAACTAAAAAAAACGAAGTGGCTGATACCTTGAAGTCTTCAAATCCTGCTGCCAAGGCGTCTTCAAGTGCGGATAGCCCAGCTTTTAACTGTTCGAAAAGTATAAAGGTACACTAGTCAGTCATTCCCCATTTTGTGGAATTTTGGCCAGAAAGATACAAACATTTAGTAAACAAATGGTCTTAGAGAAAGCATAATAACGTTGCAGCTTAGTTTAAAATGTCTTAAAAGTCATTCCAAACGAACACTAAATTCGATAATAATTTACGAAACGATTCTGTATAAACCATTACCTCATTTAGTTGGGAGTAACAGCATGCAACATTGTAACTGGCAACTGATGCTTCGTCTGGAGTTGGTTTGGATCCCAACACTGACTCAAATTTCTCTAATGCTTCCTCATATTTAGCATTCCTTGAGGGAAAAGAACAAAAAGAAAGGCGGGGTTGGACATTGATGTGGGCACAATTTAGTAAACAATAGAAGGGCAGGGCAAGTTAGATATGCAACATACTTGTAGAGACGTAGTCCTTGGCGCAGGTCATCTTCTCTGCGCGCTTTCTGCTCCTTCAACCTCATGGCATTTTGCATCTGTAACAATTACACCTATAATATGTAAATAGTACAGCAAACCTTTTCTAATGCATTTTTCTTCTTCTTTCCGGTAGTTTTGTGCAATTATAGATGCCCAGCTGGTTGAACTCTTTAGAATGGATGATTTTTCCTTTTTAGATAAGAAAATGCGGGCAGGGGAAAAAGTATGAACTGGGTGTCCATCAGAAGTCCACAACCAAGGAGATCAACCTTAGGTTCACTAAATACCCAATGGTTAACATGTCCCAATTGTCATTACAAACCCCGAAAAAGTGATAACTATGATCATGTTCGATAACTATTTAGTTTTTTGGTTATGGTTTTTAAAAATTAGGCTTGTTTTTTTCACATTTTCTTTATAACAGTTCTGTCTTTCTTAACGAAACATTTGGATTCTCACTTGAATTTATAACTTCAATATAATATCATTAGCTGCTAGTAAATGTTCACTTACTTGAATTTCTCTCACTTTATTACTAACTACGCCCGAGTTTCTCTCTGCTCTGATTAACTCCTTTTCCGTCAACTCACCATAACCATCTGTCTTTCCTGAAAAACAATCACACACAATTTACAAAGATCATATTTATAGATAAAGATAAGAGTATGTTTATAATAAAACTCGGATTTATACAGGTCATCAACCAATTTTAAGAAAAGTGATTTGTTTTTATCTTTTGTACTTTTATTCGTTATTGATTTATTGAGTATGATTGATAACTGACCATATCTCTTCTCCATTTTCATGAGTAATGGACCAATTCTTTGCCGAATTGTATACATTGTCCTTCCGTATTCAGCAGCAGGCCATATTTCTGTCCCAAACACTGCACTGCATTGATGTAACTATTCTTTTATCATATCCCAACCATGGAAGAAAAGAAAGCTGCAAATGTTTCTGCTAGGAATGTTCTTTACACATTTTCATACTAAGCCAAGTCATTCTTTTCTTTTCCCTTTCTCCTTTTAGTTTACTTTGGGAAAAAAAATGCACGACACGACAGCAACAAGACAAATTTTAAGCATACATCATATAATTCTCCTTTGAACAGTTGAGTGAATGAAAATCTTAGCCTGTGGGAAAAACACACGACAAATTTAAGAAGCCTAGATTTTTTTCTTTTTCTTTTCTCCATTTTACTTTCTTTAGCATGAATACACAAATCAACAAGAAGAAAATTTTTCAGTAATCATAATTGACCCTTATCTGAAGCAGTGGAGTCAATCATTATCCTGCTCTGTACTGTGTCACGAAAATTATTCATTAGATTTACTTGAACTTTTCAGACTAAGCATGAGTTGAGTGATCATTTCAAGCTGACAAGGGAGAGACAAGCAGATTAAATGATTTAACATAGTAACCATGGTTTGTACATGACAAAATTTGTTGTTGTTGACCAGGTGATCATGCTATCTCGTTGTCTCATCCAGGCGCCATCTAGTATAAACTAATTTTAGACTACCAAAGAAAGCATCAATGACCCCTGCATCCACCATTCTAGAAAATCTTACAGAAAACGCAACAAAACCACGTCCTATCATTTTCATTTCACAATTCAAATTTCTAAACAAGCTCGAATAAATAGATAGGTCAATCGTTGATGATCATAATGAGCAAGATTTACAGAGCAGAGATAAGGAAAATGATACCTGGTAGCAATAACTTTATCCCCAACCGTGAACAATCCCGTCTTGTCGGCAGCACCACCAGGTGCAATGGCGTCGATATAAGTTCCACCATCTCGTCCCTTGACAAATTTCAACCCATAAGGCTGCTCCAGTTCCACTTCATACTCTTCATAAGGTTGGTCAGCAACTGAATCAGCGTCGGATGCTCTGACGACGAAATTTGAAGGTTTAAGTGAATGAAGGCTTGAAAAGGAGGTGGCGAAGGAGAGATGAAAATGAGAATTGGAGAGAAAGAGTTTGGGATGGGAGCAACATAGAGGAAATGAAGAACAAAATTTGGGGAGTGGCTGAGAAGAAGAAGAAGAAGAAGAAGAAGAAGAAGAAGAAGAACATAGATACAGAGTGGTGGGCGGAGCCAGAGACATTGTGGAATGGAATGCCCTAATTTCAGGCCACAGAGCTCAGAGGGGAGTTGGAGATAAACCCATTTCTTCTGCAACTGCAAGGCTGAGAGCGCTCTCTGTTCTGTTGTGGTTTCGGGAAGGAAGAGCCCCTCGGATTTCTCTGGTCCAAAATAACAGAATCGGATGAGCCTCTAATTACACCCAATAGGCTCCTGCCACGTGTTCACCTTCTTTATTATTTTTATTATTTTTATTTATTGTTATTATTATTCTGGTTTTAGGATTTTCGCCTATGGTCCATAAATATTTGATTTATGAAGTTTTAAAATTCATATTTTTAGCGGTCTATCATATGTTAAACTTTAATAACTTGATTAACGAAGCAAAAATTATAGTAATACCCGAGTACCTAATTTTTATTTATTTGTCTTTTAATCATCATTTTTAAATTGATATAAGGTATACTAGTACGACGAATATTAGTAGTTCAACTTTATTTATCTCAAAAAATATATATTTAGGAATATAAGATTATGAAATGGAGGGAGTTTAGTTATTTTGGTAGTCCTGCCAACTTTCTCTGAGGGACCATTTTCTTTGTCTACCGTTTGGGTCTCCTCAATAGAATTGGTGTCGAACAATGCACTTAATAGGCATGAGATAGAATTGGTGTCGAACAATGTACTTAATAGGCAAACTTTGGTCCAATCATTTGTTTTTGGAAACGATTGCTCATTCTATCGAGACAATATCATGGCAGTGCACAATTTACGACTACAAGTGCTTCATTCAAATTGTATTAACCGTCACATCAACATTCAATCAAGTTAGCTACCAACTAATAAAATTATTTAAAATTTTTTGATGAAGTTAAACTAAATTGAGTATATCTTAATGGCACTTAATTTTATTTATTTTTTGCATATCTATTTAAATATGGTAAGTAATTTCATTTTCAACTCCATATGCCAATGATGTATGTAAACACATTCATATTCATTATAAAAGATGCAAACATAGCTTAGTGCAACAAAATTATAATTTTAATATTTGTTTTAAACTTTAACCCAATGCCAATAATTTAACAATAATTAACACATTTAATCAATAAATTGTTTTTAAAAAAATGTTAGAGATTCAAATCACCTAAAATGTTGTTCGACTTAACAAAAAAAAAAAAAAAAATGATGTCATCTGACTTATCAATAAGTCGATATTTGTAAAACAATGGTACAAATTATCAGATACAAAGGATATATATATATATTGCTAACTTGCAATTACTTGGACAACTTTGAACATCCGCTAGAAGCTAAATAGAGGCAATTTGGGGTTAGGCATTATGAATCTTCTACCGAGTTTAGCTAAAAAAAACGATGAGAAAATGGACAAAGTGGCGCAGAAAATTAACACACCTGTTCTAAGTTGCATTAAATTAGGAAGAAAGGAATGAATGCATTTGATTGAGCTACTATAACCTTGAAATCTTTCAGTCTGCTTTCTTCAAGTTCAAGCAATTATCTGCAACTTGGCTGAAAAGCTCCTGAACCTGTTTTAATTCCTTCTCTGCAACAAACAATTCCCAATTCCATTAAGAATGTTAGCTTGTGTAGCTGTGGCCAAATATCAGTAGTATGTTCCATAGAACGGAGAGAACACGAGAAATTTCGCGCTTACGACGAGTTGGTCAAACCCTAAATGAAACCATACAGTAAAACTTCCAATAGGAAGTCATTCTTGGTGGGCCCATAATTTGCAACTGGGCATGTTGTAACTATACACAGGTTAATGAAGAAAACGAGATAATACCTGCGGCTTCTAGCTGCTTTTGAAGTTCTTGACCTACAGCATCGTTCTCGGCCTGGATAACAAGTTTCAAACGTACTGAGAACTAAACAATACAGGAATTCTTGGTCTTATATCAACATTAGAATATGAGAAGGCTTATACCTGTAGTTCCGCAATCCTTTTCAACTGCTCTTCTTCACCTCCATCAGATAGAGGCAATGCTGCAACTAATACATCAAACTGTGCCAAAAGATAATAAAAACAATAGTTTCAAGAACGGCACATATGTTAAATTGGATTATATATAAATGAAGCATGGTCTCAACCCTTTCTTTTGTACAGAAAGCTAATAGTATACCAGTTGGAGAGGAGAGAGTAAAAAGGAAAAGAAAATGAGAGAAGGAATGGAACAATCTGGCTCCTTGTAGAATCACATCTAGAAGGCACTAAAATGCCACCGGAACTGGAAAACATCCAAACATTTCTATTACCCAAAAACTACACTGGGATTTTCTCAAACATAATGTGGACAGACTCGTCGATTTTATAAATTCTACATATTCCATGGAAAAACTGTTGAAGAGAACAAACCTTAATTCATTGCTACTTTCAACTCCATTGCTTACGAAAATCAAAATCTCTCAGCAAAATTTTCTAAATAAAAAAAGATTCAGATTTTAGTCAAATACAGGGTTGAATAGCAGATTTAAAAAATATGAACACGCTTAATAGCTCTTAAAAGTGGGGCTAAAACATATATACAGTTAAAAGCAAAGAATAATTAAAAAAGTTTTCCGTAAGACTTTGGCTTATTGCTGATCTAAAACACCATATTTGCCCAAGTAGTATCTGAGGTTGGAAGGCAAAAGTAAATTGAAGTTTCCAATACCAAATTTGCTTCCTTGGATGGATATACAATAAATCATAGCATTAGAACCAGTATGCCTCTCAAACAAGTAGCGGGATATCTGTTACTTTGATATGTTACTACCCCATAAAAAACGCAATAAAAGTTATGAGCGGCTGAAAAGCAGGAAATCACAGTCCTGTTTGTCCTCAGACTACACAAGTTCAGACTTAACTAGATCTAACAAACGAGCATTTGAGGGTGAATGAAATGCATCTCTCCCAATCTCATCAGGTGCTTCGAGTAGACAGTTGATTCTCAATTACTTATCCAGTAGATAGAAAGCATGTAAAGTTAATCAATCTAGGATACTGACCTTTGAAAAAAAAAATGGCAATCTAAAATCTCCCCAAAAGGAAGAAGAAAATACTTTCTTGATGTTTCGACCCATGAAAAAGTAAATAACAAGAGGCATATGCATCACATTCATATTTTCCACCCCAAAAGTACAAGAACCAATGAACTACACACTTAGCATGAACAACGGCAAACACAATCCTGCAAAATAAAAATCACACCTGCTTAGCGGCTTTCACCAAAGCGGCACTCATTAGCTTGGGCTGCTCTGCGAAGTTTGCACTGTCCTCTGTAGGTTCGTGAGGCGGAGGTTCGGGGTAATTAGGAGATAAACGAACTGGAGGAGCATCTCTCTGCAATGTCCCAAAAGTATTGAAAGCTAAAGCAGCAATTGTATTGACTTGTTCCTGTAGTTGGGAAATAATGTCCATTTCGAACCTTATCCCCCAGAAGAATTGTCCAGAAAATGATGAGAACCAATAAACATATCAAGACAATTAAAATCAACAAATCACATATAGGAACTGACTGAGTGGGAGTCTAAGCTATTTCTTCCAATATAATCCAAAAAAAAAAAAAAAATCTGAGATAGCATCAAAAACATGGTAAGGAAAGTTAATACTCGTAAGAAGACTTCACATCCGACTATAATTGCTGAGAGACAACTTTGTGGAAGAAAAACAACCAATTCAATAAAAGAAACACTAAATGAAATACCTCGAACCATAGTTTCTCAATTTAATTTATTACAATTGAAGAGACTAGGAGTGAGTCAATAGGTTCGCAGGTTCTAATCTGGATCTTGTGTTTGGTTGCTCAAGTAAATGATGAAATCACGTCAAATATAAGGAACCAGTATTAGAGGATCGAAATCAAAATTGTAATGACGTGCTTGTAAGATGTTAGATCTGTTTATCATTAATGGATAAACCAATTCCAATTCTCACAAAACTGAGCTCACCGAAAACCTTGGAAGAGCAGCCAAGTTGGATTATGCCCACGAAAAAAGTATCAGTGCCGTACCAATACCGGTATAATCTATACTATATAGGAGAATCGTTAGTTCCCTTCCTATTTTACTCTATGCATTTTCTAAAACTTTTTATGGCAATTACATGAAGTACAAAGCATATAGATGGCTTTTATTTCCAGTAAATTAAAAGTATGTTGGGTGATTGATTGATGTGAGGGAGGAGAATTTCAACTTTAAAAAAAGATTCATTGTTATCTGCCAACTATAATCTCCAAATCTACAACTACAAGTATGGTTGAAAGTTGTTGGTCGATCAAAATAGCTCCGCCAAGCTAGGGATTAAAAAAGAATTGGATAATACAATAACTTACTGATTCTCTCATACACAAAGAAATAATTATGCTGAACATTTCATTGTCGCAGAAACAAGAGAGATGTACAGGTGATCAAGCCTCAGTAGACATACTCGACGAATCAAAAGGCAAAGCACACCGCAGTTCGGCTATTGTCATTTCAAAAAATCAAAACAACTCCTCCATTTTTTCCTTATACAATTCCTAATTTGAGTTTTTCAATTGAGAAAAAAGGCAGAGATGGAGAAAGAGAGAACATCGGTAACATCAGAAGAGTATAAAATCAGTGCAAACCTAAGGGAGGCTGCGGCGGCAGCACTGACCGGAGAGACGCAATGGCGACAAGGACCAGATAGAAGCGGTGGCGACACTGTACGGCTGAAAGGGAGGGGGAGGAGACGACGTGACCAGGCGGAGCACAAGAGAGTACAATGAACGTGGAAAGGGTTTATGTTTCTATTTTATTTATTTATTTATTTATTTATTATTATTGTTATTTTCTAGTTTTACGAACTGGGCTGAATGGTTGGAATGGAGATCGAATTAAACCTTAAATTTTTTATTTATTTATTATATATACATTTTGACCTAATTTCAATTTATTTTATCTAATTAAACCTTAAAATAAAAAAATAAAAAACATTTATTAATTAGTAACCGGTGATAGCCGGTAAAATAAAAAAAAAACACATCCAAGTTGTACTTAATTACACTTAATTAAATATATTATATAAAGTTTTAATTATTTAACCAATAATTTATTAAAATTATATAAGATTTAGAGAATATTTCATATAAAATAATTTAGTCTATATTATGATTTTTGAAATA